TTGCCCCAGGAGTCCCTTTGGAATATTAAGAGAGTGAGAACACTTCATGCAAAAATTTCCATTAGTCTTTGTTTACCAAATATTCAAAAGTTGATGGTCAAGTCATTTAAATTATGTCCTTATCAAAATAAAAAAAGGTGAATAAACTACAAATTTCTGCTATGACTTTTTGCAGAGTAACTATCTTAAGAGTTGTAACTTTCTTAAGCTTGAAGGACATCACTCATAATTCAAAATTGTGGGTGGTCTAGCTATCAACGAAAAATTTTCTTGAGCTTCTACTTTGAGTGTATTATAAAGTTAATGCTGTGGACAATTTAACATGGCAAACTTTAACTGACAAAAATCATCTAATTCTACTTTTTTTGTTTGGTCCGCTTAAGTTATATTATTGTAACATGTATATATTAAAGAATTGAATACCCTTAATTAGAATTTTTATCTTACTATACAGTCAACATCGATTTTTTTTTTTTTCTGTCCACCACCTTTTGTTGCTGCTGATATGTGATTGCCAATGTTTCATCTCTGGACAGTGGCTCCAGCCCTCCTGTTTCTGTCTGCCATTTTATTTCACCTTTGTATTTTTCTAGTTTTTACTGTTCCTGCTAATGCAGGATATCCATTGACCTTTGCACTTGAAGGTAAAACATGACTGGTACTTTGCTCCTGAACAATGGAGAGCCATAAATCAGATGACAGGGTGGCTTTGCGAAGAAAACCCCTGCCCTACTTTTAGCTTTTGTCTGCTTTGTGTTGTCCACACAGCTGTGCTGGAGCTATAATGGCAGAGATGGGAGAAAGTCAAGTCAATCTTATCTGCTCAAAAACACTGCTCTAAGCTCTGTGTAACTATCCATTTAACTACGCCACAGATTTTTTTTCCTTTACACTTGAACCAATCATCTGGAATGATACAAATCTGGTAGACCTGCTGTAGCAAGAAGGCTGAAGATAAATGGCCTCCACTCCTCGACCTGCTCAGGGGTTTATGACTTGTAACTGACGGCCCGCTGAAGGCCCACATTCTGTTTTTGTTTTTACCATATTTTTTCTCATTCCCAGGCTTTCAGGACAAACCTACAGGTACTTTGAGTGATCTTGTTGTTGAGGTAACCACGACATTGTATTTATTTTTTTCCTCACCATTACCTTATTAGTTATTATCTGTTACAAGACCATCTTGGTACAGAATCGCAAGAAGATTAGATTTATCAAATCCATGTGTATCGTCTGTAACTTTTCAGGCAGAAAAAAAATAGAATTGATTAGAAATGGCATCCTGGATCAGGTGCATTAGAGAGAATGATGAAACGGTTGATTTGGGCATGTCAAAACTCTTTACTTCAATCATTGGTGGTTTGAGGTTGGAGGCCAAAAAACTTCATGACAGCATGTGCCTATAGCCAAATGTCAGAGCCAGCCTTAGTTCATAAACAAGTTGTCAGCATCCCTCAACACCTGATTGCACATGCCGCGTCACTTAGTTTTCTTGGTTCACAGCACATAATTGCTTTTCCCCTCACAGGCACCACCTGAATACGACAAGGCTCATTTTAATTTACTTTGGAAAATGCAAACCAAAGTCAAATGTGGCATTTCATGCATGAGCCATTCCCTGCAGGTGTCACCTAATCGTATGATCCACTTGTAGTTTAAGCTGATGTGTAAACGGCAGGGCATTCTCATCTTCGCCCCTCTGTTCGTCCACCAAACGGTGTTGTCTTGATGGATGAAGGTTGCATCAAAGATCCCCTTCCCGTTGTGCAGCTTTCATACATTCACAGAGGCATGATGTATGCTTCAATAAAGATAACACTTGTCCAATTCTTAATGGAAATTTTGCTCTCAGGCACTGTTTACTTTCTATTTAAAGTGTGTGGGGGGAAAACAAATGCTAATAAAGTTCTGTTGGTTATTACAATGGTAGAAAAATAATTGTCAAAGAGTTATCATAATATACTGTACTGCTTCATATTTGTCAGTTCAGAGACAATTAAAGGAAACAATAAAGTCATCCCCACTACAACCAACAGTACACATAAAAAACATTTGAAGCTTGTGGGTGTTTGAGAGATGAATTTTCAGTATTTTTTTCTTTGTGTTTCTGCACTGTTGGGCATCTTCTCTCTGTTCATATTGTCCAGGCATGATGGGACAAGATACATCCTTTGTGAAAACTGGAAGCACACAAAGGACCCATGAAAAAGAGAAAATGTGTAATCCCTCAAAGATCAGTGTCCATCTGTCTGTCTCTTTGTATGCAGGCAGACAAAAAGGCTTCAGGTTTGTCACTCCGAAATGCCAATAGACCCAGGTGAAACTTGACATTTCAGGCTTGAGTTACTTGGAGATTCTATCCAGTGGAAATTGTGGAGGTTGGATGAGGTCTTTGTGAAGCCGTTAAGTCCCATCATGATAATGTGAAGTGATTGGGATAGAAACAGGAACAGATATATTTTTTATTGCTATCAAATGTTACCAAAAGAAATCAAATTCAATGAATGGATTTTTGTTATCACATTCTTCTAATGTTAAACACATGTAAAAGCTCAAAGCACTTGAAAGTCTATAACATATAAATGGATTTTGAAAAGTTAAACCTCAGTGGTATGACTTCCTCAGAGTAATTATTTGATCTATTTGTCAACACTATTCAGACATTCAGCATCTAGATTGCTTACGTTTGTCATTGCATGTGTAAACATTCTTTTGGTAAAATTTTGATAACCAGCTTTGTGAGTCGCTCCTTACAAATGAATACCACTTTGTTGGGTTTTTTTAAGACAAATGGTTTGCATTTTCCAAGTAGTGTTACCTTTTTACGCATTTCTCTATTTTTGCCACAATTGAGATGCTATTTGGTTTAGTTGAGTTACGTCAGAATCCTGATCAGTTCCACCATGAAGATTTCTCTTTAGTTGGCCCATCTATAAACTAAGGTGAAAACAAGCCAGGTGTTTACATTTTGCTGCATGGATTTCTTGTGACATTAACTGAGCAAGATAAGTGTGTTAAATCTGTCAGCTGCGCTGATAGAATCATGGATCAGATGAAGGGGCTCTCTGTCACATAGTCCATACTTTGTATGTAAAAATGTACACTTTCCTCAAACCTGACAGCTGAAGCGTTTAAGATTTGTGTATTCTTTGTCTATGAACACATAACAATGTTTCATCCATTCATTCATCTTGCATTTACTATTGATTGGCACTTTAGGAAAAGGCTCAGTCAATAGTTCCCTCTGAAGCATTGAAAGAAGTGAAGCCTGTGCCAATAATGATACATTTGGTGTGAGAGATGTGGTACCAGTGCCGACTTGTTGTGAACACAGCTCTGAGTTGGATGCCGTTTCCCAGGAAACACAGAAGCATCAAACTGTTAGTTCAGCTGGTAGTTCAAGCACTGTATGGAACTGCTCAGAGTTAAAGATGCAGTTTCTTGGAGGGTAAATGACTAAATGACTAAAATGACTAAATGACTTTGAGATGTGGTGCCACAACGCTGAGACAACATAAAGCTTATTTTACTCCCTTTCTAAAGCTTTGTTGGCTTACTTTTCAGGGTGTAGATGCAAAAAGGAGGCTTACAGATCAGATGTTTTAATTAGGTTTTAACTCTTTCTGACTTGGGAGGAGGTTATGAATTATGTTTGTTTCAAATGTTAAGGAAATAAAGTTTTTTTTCTGAACAATATCATCATGTTAGATTATTCAAAAGAACAAAAACATGTCAAAGCCCTTATTTTTCTCATTCTGTTGAAAAGTAACAGTTGTAGACTGTGTGTAAATAGGTATGTGTGTGTTAGTTTTTCCATCACTGGGCCGTTTATCACATGGCAATTGACTAAGCGGTGAGTTACAGTTCCATTCACAGTGTGAAAATAATATCCTGCAGTGATGATTGCAATTACGGTGGCTTTGTGCATTTATCAGTGGTGTATGACTGATTTTACCATAAATGGAGGCACAGCTTGGGTAACACGGAGTAATCAAATCGAGTTCAGTATTTGCTGTGTTTGCAGGAGCTCCTTTTTCATGTCTGAATAAAGCTGAGTTTATGATTGCCCCCTTTTTTTCTTTTGTCTTTTGAGATTTAATCTTATTTTGAAAGATGACATCTGGGACACTCTCCACAGTGCCAGTAGAGGGTGGTGTCTTCACCTATTTACCACAAACTCTAAACACAACCCACCAGTCCGCATCCTCTCTGTTTGCTCAAATTCTATGAGCAACTATACATTCAGTCAGCATAAGGGTGGGCATTTTTTTTCATTTTCAATCACATGCAATTTCCTTAAATTTAAAATGTAGATGTAGTGTTGTTCTTTCGCTTTACTGTAATTAAATGGCTTTTAAATTGCCACCTTCCTGCGTAAATCTGTTGTTTAATTCAAGCAACTGGACTAAGTTAATTGATTATTTCTTATTACTTTACACCTCTCTTCTACTTCAGCCTGCTCCATAGCAATGTTTACATTCATACATACAAAAATTAGATGTCTTTTGATTATTTAGTCATATTTTGGAATGTGTTTGTCATTTATGTGCAAGAGCAGCTGTGCGTCTTAGCGGAACCACACCTCCCTTCCGCCTCTCTCATCTCCCCTCCCTTCACACTCCCGTACTCATATCCACTCCCTCTCATCTTCCCTCCCTTTACTTTGCAGAGGCACTCTGTGCACCTTAAAGAGCAGGAGAAAGCCACAAACTGTCACAGAAGAGCAGTTTTTGGTCTCTGCTTATAGAGCCGCCACATGCTTTTCAATTTGATAAGAGGGGAGAGAAAAGGCAGCTGGAAGAACTGAGTTCAGCATCTGTGGACTTTATTTCCCTTTTAGTTACCTTCTTAATTCGTGACTTCTTGAGATTGATGACTTTGAGGTTGTTACAAACCTAAGGCCAGCTGTTGCTCGTCTAGGTTTGAACCTCCTAAACCCCACTCTGGATTTAGGGAGTGAGCAAACAGTCGGCGGGTGCCTGGAGTTGCCCGGCCGGTGCTTGTGGGCTGGCATAGCGCTGGAGTGGGTGCCGGGGAACTGGAGTGTGGGGCCAGGTGGGAGCGTGGGTCCTGGTGGTGGTCCAGAGGGTGGGGAGACTGGCTCGGGGTCTGGGTTTGGATCGGGAAATGGTGGCGTGGAGTGGACGGAGGGTGGAGAAATGCTGAGCGCCATCTGGGAGACAGAAGGGCTGCAGACGGTGGGCATTGTGGTGCTGGTGTTCGCTTCCATCAAACTGCTGCACCTTCTGGGGCTCATCAGCTTCTCTGAGGGTAAGTCTGTGGTGGAGGCAATGAAGGAGACTAACTTTAGCAGGAAGTGGACACAAAGCTGAAAAGAAATAATGCAATGATAATGTTTATTTCAAAAGGGATGTAGAATATAAATCAGAGATTCCGTTTGTGTGGGATTTTGTCGGGACTTAAGTGCCACAGCTTTAGTTTCTCTACAGAGACTATAGTTTTAAGCCTTAAGATGTGGCAAATTATTTAAAGTTTTCAAAGAGATGTTGAATTGTCATCATTTTTTTAATCAGTTTTTGCTCCAAGGTTACCATCTACAATGTACAAGTACACTGTAAAGTTCCCTGTGCACAGAATGTCAGCCCCGTGTAAACTGTTTAGTTTAGACCTACTGCTGTCCTCTCATTAAATATAGTCACGCAGCATAGTAAGCAGGGGAACACGTAACAAGCCCATCCATCAGACAACTGCTTAATTAACATGCTCCATCAATAAATAGAATAATCATTAAAAAGTTGTGCTCATGAACTCGGACAGTGAGTAAACGGAGAAGGGACAGTGCGTAACAGGAGAAAGACTTTGTGCTGGTAGCAGCGTTTTGATGACGAACAGAGTGTGGCTGTGTTATTTCAAAGGCACATGGGAGCAGTGTTTTCATGGGGGAGAACACTGAGTCTCACCCTCAGCGCAGCCGTTTACTTGCTTCACCAAACAGTTGTGAGCTGCTTTCCTCTCTGTCTGTGTTTCCAAATGTAGCTGCCACAGTATTGATTATTTGACACGCTGAGATGATGCAGACGGCAGAGCCTGCTTCTCTGGTCCTGTTTGATTGTTGATGTGATCTGCTTTACACAGTCGTGTCTCACAATCTAATTACTTGCTGATGGTCTGCTGTCTGAACATTTGAAACTTGACAAGCAGTCAATACAGGTATTGATGCTGGCATGTGCTGGTAATCATGTCATCAGGGGAGGAAAAAAGGCACGGCATAGAAAAAGATGAGCAGGTTTGAAAATGAGTTTAAAGCAATTTTTCATGACAAGGCAAATAGTACTATATTTAGATTCAAAGCTGTCAGCTTGTCAGTCTAAGTAGCACATGGCTGAGGACGCAGTTCATCAATTACTACTTCTCCTTTAGGTTTTTGCATGGCTTAGAAATATGTAAATTGTCTAAATGAAAGTTCAGATGAAAGTGTCATGTCTGAGACGTTGATTCATTATATTCAATGTAATAATGGACCAAGAGTAACAAGAGTACATTTTTCATGAAACAGATGATCGTGCAATTTAATGCACATGATGGACAGCAGGTTGGATTATTGTAACATTTTATTTGTAGGATAATCCATCCAAACAAGTAGACCACATCAAATTATTCCAATCTCAGTAACCAGAGTTTTAGCACAACATGGACATTTTAACTTGTCTTTGGAGTGCTGAAACCCATTCACTTGCTATCTGCTCACAACATAATCTCCTTTGAAATAATCCTACGAGTCCAATAAACAGTTTGGTCTTTGTGTAAATCTGTAAATTACCCACTGTCCAGTTTGGTGTCTCAGGTCATTATCTTCAAATGTCTTAGTTGTTCGCAAACTTAATTCCACACTCCACACTTCAGTTCAATGGTTTTTATATGTATTTAAACATACTATATTATTTAAACCACAGTGTGTTCATTCAAAGGCTTTTTCAACTGCAGAAAATTGTAGCGCAATAGGTCATTTCTGCCCACAGAAGTAGCTGCACACATTTATAATGACAAATTATTTATTTATTCACACCAAAATAATCTATTTTTCCAGTGGTCATTCATGATAAAAGCTTTCATTAGTTCATTCGTAATGCATGTGCTCTGAAATGTCAAACTATTATTTTTTTTTACTCATTCAGCATTTTTTTACTAACAATTCAACCTGAGTTTATGTCTCCCAATTGAACAAATACATTTTAAATATAGAAATAAAGTGTCAGTCCAGAACAAATTTAATCTCAAGGGCAACTATCAAAAGCAAATACTGTAGTTTTCACAATTTGTCTGTTGTACTTGTTTATTTGTGCAGTCTTTCCAACCTTTATGGACACCTTTTCACTGAACATGCATGCTCTGCTTAACGTTGTGCCGTGAGACATGTTCACAGCTGGGAGCTGCCCAATAAGATCACATCGCCCCACTTTGGGCCACCTGAACAGCTGCACTAGGGTGCCAGGGGGAAGGTCTTACTGCTAAAGTCTCTGTGGGGTAAATGTTTGGGGAGTTTCTCAGCTGGCCTAAAGATAAGAATTGACAATGCTCAAGTCACAGGAGAGAATGTAATCTGTGAGCACAACCTGGGCGTGTTTCACACTGTTGAGCTGTTTACTGTACAGTACTCGCTTGCAGCTAAGAAGAGCTGTGCCCTCTGTAAATACAATTGTAAACATTTTTTAAAAAGAAGTAAATAAATACCACACACTTCCAGCCGAGACAGACAAATATTACGCAAAAGGATTCTACACAGACTGGTCAGAACAAAAATATGTTTTTTAGACAGGAATTATAAATAAATCTGATAGTTATAGCTTCCATTTTTGTTGCTAGAACAATGTCAATTTATGACTTCATACATTTCAAAAAGCTTATTATGTAATGTCATGTAACTAGATATTTACCTTAATGGTGTCCCTTGAGCCTAAGTCACTGTCGTAGTGATTTATCTTTTACATTTCGTCGATTTCATTCCACTGATGCATTTGATTGCTTTCATATTTGCAAGTATATTTTACTTTGATTCACGGCGGAAAAAGTAAAAACAACTTTTGAACTTTGCTTCACTCATTCAAATGTGTCCAGTTTTTCCTGCCACAGACATTTTCACATTTAACTCCAATTTATTGCAGATTGCAGAGCAAAGCCTCCAAGGTGCAGGCTAATCATAATGTCATATCATGATGGATCGTTCCCTTTTTCGATTGCAGACAACAACAGATGTAATCATAATCCCATAATACACATCCACAACTATGTTATTACCAAAACAGGGATGGAACACAGTGTCGATTTAGTCTTTTCGTTTGCTATTATTGGATGGCAGCACAGAGTGTCTGCAAACGTATATCCGTCTAACAAGGTTCTCATCTTCTGTGTGTTTGTGTCCTTGGTAGGAATTTATGACCTGGCAACAAGAGGCCTGAGACTGTTTAGCTGCCAACATTTTTTTTTACTTGTTGGAAAGTGTTTTGGTTTGTACCATAAAGGACAGCTCATAGCTGTGTGGGGTCAAGGTGGTACAGAGACAAAGTACATTCAGAGGTAATGTTGGGACAACTACAGCAGGCCGTTGTTACCTGAAGCCTACCCTGAATTTATTGCACATCCTTAAGATACTCTGTCTATGCAAATGTCTTCAAGAATGGTCTTCAAGTTTGACATGCTGTGAAACACAAAATCTCAACATTATTTGAATGTATTATCAAAGGTTTGAAAAATGGGATCAATACTTCTCTTTCTTGGCAGATATTGGAAGACTTGACTTGATATCTCAGTACAACATGCATGAACTCTGGAAGACACAGTGTAGCATCATTATGAGCATCATTAATAACAAGGAAACAAAGGAACTCTTGGGCGTTTTACACTGGCCAGCGTTAACCTCAGTCCACCATCTGGAGAACATATGGCACACTATGATGAGAACCGTGCTGCCTGCTTCGAATGTGCTGATGACGCAGATATTAGTGTGTCCTCTAACACAGTGACAAAACACTGACAAAGTACTGAAAGCAAGCGTGTCATTTTTTGTGCAGTGTGTATATTTTTGTCCCCACGCACAGTTTCACAGGCATGGCAGAAACTGTGCTGCATCTTTATGGGATTGTTCTTTGAGTCACAAATCACTTATCAAAGCTGAGTCAGCAGAAGTGTTTACCAACTTTTCAATGCATTTCAGATGATGGCCTTTATAATCTTCTCAGTAAATTCAATTGCCAACATCCATTGTGGAAATACCCCCCCATCAAGCTTTCAAAGGATTGAAAAAAAAAAAAAGAAATTTAAACAATGACTGATGTCGACATAAGCCGTTCCTTAGCAGCCAGTGATTGGCCATCCGCTAACCGGCCCAGTTAAAGAGCTATACATGGGTTAAAATACCCTTTGGCTGTTTACCATGACTCTTATTTGGGGAACTTGATTGACTTGACCTTTGCTTGAGTGTCCTTCTTAGAGGCCCCTCTGGTGTTTTAGGGGTGAGAAAAGCGTGGTAAAAGAGCTAATTGAGAGGAAGAGGACACATAGACTCTCAGTGTAAGTCAGGAAAGGACGAGTATCTCTCAAGAAATCAGTTTTGATTAAAACATCACAGATAATAAACCTTGATATAAACGGCATGAAAATGCCCGTTAACTCAGGAATTGATGTTCAGGGCACAGAGTCTTCCTGTGGAAGAGGGATTTGAAGCCAGATTAAGTTCTATGCGGATGTGTTATCGTGAACACCGTCTGCCAGCGCAGAGACGTTGAAAATCAAAGGATCTAAACCTTGCAATAATACTGACCCCTTCTACTGACCATAACTAATGCTATCTCAAAGGTGACCACATTTTCCCTCAGTAGTAGTCATGATTTTTAAAAAACTTACTTTGAAACAAAGATTAGTGGCTTGTTTAATTTAGCTTGTAATGATCTTGGAGGAGTGGTGGTGTAATGGTTAGCATAGCTGCCTTCCAAACAGTTGACCTGGGTTCGATTCCCGGCCAATGCAGCTCCTCTCTACCCTGTAAGTCGCTTTGGATAAAAGCGTCTGCCAAATGCATGAATATATATGAATATATAATATATCTTCACTGGACACTGTGCTGTGGCACTTTGGAGGTCCTTGTAGGCATTGTTTTTGGGATCTGAAACAATGGATGTAAAGCGTAGTCGCTGCCTACCCTGCCAAAACATCTGTGCATGTTCCTTTCTGAGGGACTGATGTGGTAAGAGTTTCCTGTCCACAGCTGAAAGGGGATGACTCATTTGAAAGTGAGTCATGAAGACTTTCTCTTA